GTGTAGGGTCCTCCTCAAGTTTCATCCACGTTGTGGCATGCGTCAGAATTTCCTCCTTCTCAAGGCTTAATAATATTCTGTTGTATGAATGTACCATATTTTGTTCAACCATTCACCTCTCAGCAGACACAGTTGCTTCCATCTTTTAGCTATCGTGAATAATGCTGCTGCGAACACTGTCAAATATCTGAGACCTGCCTTCAGTTCTTTGGGGTACATACCCATAAATGAAATTGCTAGATCGTACGGTAATTCTATTTTTAATTTTTTGAGGAAACGTCGTACTGTCTTCCGTAGCAGCTACACCATTTGATATTCCCACCAACAGTGCACAAGGGTTGCATTTTCGCCACATGCTTGTCAGCACGTATTTTCTGTATTTTTTATAGTACACATCTTAATCGGTGTGAGGTGGTATCTCATTGTAGTTTTGATTTGCATGTCCCCAAAATTAGTATTTTTTTTAATATACCATGTCTTCCAAATCCAGTGTATGTTCTATACTTACATCTCGCTTTGTACTGGCCACATTTCAAGTGCTTACTAGCTGGCCACTGTATTGGGAAATGTGGTTCTGCAGGGAAAAGTTGGGGGCAGGGGGTAGAAGCATACGGAGTTCAGGCATGTGTCTGGTGTCAGCAAGAACGTGTTGATCGTCTGTGTTGCCTGAGGAGGAGCTGGGCGTCCAGGAGGCTGTGTGTCCCTTGTCCTTGGCAGGACGGACACGAGGAGGGGACTGGACTCCATGGCCTTGGGAGGGGTCTGTGGTTCACAGTCGCCTCTCTTGAATGGCCGTATGGGGGGCGTGGACAGCCGGCGCCTCAGACCCCATTGCCACTAGCTCTTGCGAAGGGTGTTTGGAACTCTCCATCCACACGTGCCCACAGATCTTTTTACCGTCACACACCGGAAAGGAGTCTGGCTGTAGCCAAAGGGTGGGAGGCCGGAGCTTCCTTCCCAGCGCTCTGCCTTGACCCTTCACTGCCCCCTGCGTCCCCCTGGAGCCTGTCTAATCAGATCCAGGCCTGACCTCGCCAGAGGTCCTGGACCAGGAGGAAAGGCCCCCTCCCCTCCCTGAACTGCCATAGATCTGCCTCTCAGGAGACCCCTCCCCTTGGGGTGATTTATGGGGGTGTCCAGGAACCGTTTCCGCCTGTTTTTGTTCTCTTCCAACCTGCTGGGCTGCTGGGCTCACTCTCTGCCCCTGGTCTCTCCCCACAGCCTGGTTGTACCTATGGTGGGGGCAGGGAGGGGCTGGAGATTCCTCCCCACGTTGCTTGGGGACAAAGGGGCTTTCTTCTTCCCTTCTCCCCACTGCTCCCAAGCAGGCCTTTGTCCTTCCTGATGCTTTCTGTGGCCCTCACACCTGTAAGGCCTCCCAGTCACTCCCTGTTACTCCCTCCCATCACCTAGCTTGACGTGAGGGACCCAGAACTGTCCCCACCAGGCCAACAGGTATCTGCAGGAGTATAAAGCCAAAGTCACCGCGACACCTTGCTGTGCACCAGCCACGGCAGTGGCTCATCTACTCTGTCGTCAGCCACACAGTGGCCTCCAGGATGGCTTGTTCCGAGCTCAGCGTGTTGAGAGGTCCAGCCCTCAGCCCCACTTACCCACGTTTGCCCAGGGACCCTTCCCCAGAGAGACATGATGAGGAACAGTCCCTCCAGCTCTGTGGCCTTGTGGACTTGTAAACCGTGTTCCACCCTGAGAGACTAAAGGGCACCCACGCAGCACCAAGACCCTTCCTACCCTGACTTCCTGAAGGAAAAATGCTGTTACTTAGGAACAAGGAGTGAGTGGAAGATGCCAGGTGACTCCAGCTAAGCCGAGTATGCTGGCCCAGACATTGCGGATCCGGACAAGGGCCTGTTCATGAACACAGGTCAGGGCTAAAGGTCTGGGAAAAGTACCTCGTCCACCCCCTTCATTTATGGCTGAGAGGATGCGACACGCCCGGGTTCTGACAGCGGTCTCGGGGACACCTAAGGAATATGCAGGGTTGGGTAAGGGTGTGAGGAAGGGAGGGAGGAAGGAGCCTTGGATGAGGAGGACCACACCTTCCTCTCGCACCCGCCCTCCCTGGACCACACCTGCAGCCAGCTGGGCTCCAGGGCTGGGGCTGGAGAACCCCTCCGAGGGTTCTTTCCTCTCCCCTCGACCAGTGAGAAGAGTCTGTTCCAACATGCAGCCCACTCCGGGGCCACCTGCCCTTGGAGAATGAGAAACTTGCTGGAGAACTAAGGGTCACCCCAGCAGAGGGCCTAGGCCTCAGTTTCCCCTTAGTAAAATGAAGGGATTGGCTTCAGATTAGTGGTTTTCAAGCAAAGCTGCCCTTCAAGTGAAATGTTCGGCAAACTGCAACAAAGCAGAGCTCAGAGAGGTACAGCAAGGTGCTGCTCTACTGGAAGGGAAACGTGGGCAGGAAGTGGGCCCAGCTGCATCCGAGGGGCCCCATGGACCCTCAGGTGCGCCGTGTGGAGCGTTCCAGGCTGGCTCCTCACCTGTGCCCCTCCCAGCGGCAGCGGCAGCATTCCTCGCTAACATCACATTCAGCTGCGCGGTACTCGTTTGGTTTGGGGGAGGAGGAGGAGCTGGACAGTGGAGACCAGACTTTCTCTGTCCCTTGCGCCCTGGCGAGGAACCTTTCCCTTGCGTCTTTCCTCAGGCCAGCTCCTCCCGGCTCTGGGTGCCTCCAGGGAGCCCAGAATGGGGGCTAGAAGCACAAAAGGATTCGGTTCCTTAATGAGGAGGCATCTGTAGTCAGCAGAGCCATTAGTCCCCGCCTCAGGTCCCTGGGGGCTGCGAGCTCCTCTCGAGCTGGAGTGAGGAGGGGGCAGGCAGCTCCCGAGCTTCCAGTGGGCAGGGCCTGGGGGGCACAGACGGCTGACCCAGGAGCCTGGGTGCCCTCTCCGCTAGCCAGGCCAGCGGCATCCAGCTCTGCCCTCCTGGAGATTGAGGCTTGGAGGCAGTAGAGGGGCCCCAGTGGCAGCTCAGCATGCCCCTCCAAGCCCCTGGGCTGACCTGCAGGCCCTCAGCCAAACAGCCTTTGGCCTAAGACAGGGCAGGCTAACCTCGCAGTGCTCCCTGGGGATCCTCTCGCCAAACCTGATGGGGGCACCAGCTGGGACACTCGCCCCCACCCCCAGGGCCCCAAGGTACTGAGTGTAAGGGCTGTACCTGCACGGAGACGTGTGATTGATTACCTACAATGGTACCAGAATCACACGCCAGCCACAGTAGCTGATGGCTTCAAACCCCATTCCCATCCAGACGTGGACACTCAGACCACATAACCGAGACACGGCCACGCTTCCCAGCAAACACACAGCCCCGCACGCATGTACAAAGAGGCGCACACACCCATCAGCCGCACTCCCAGGAGGCCCTCAAAGAGGAGGAGGCAGGGCGGGGGATTTTTATGCGTGTTTATATTTAATGAACCACATGCAAATGAGACGGAGAGCATGCCACAAAGGAGCCAGCCCCCAGAGACTCTGAGTGGAAGGGCACAAAGGTTTGGCCCTTTGGGCTGCCCTGGAGGCCAGGGCAGGCCAGTGGATTGAGGGGGCTTGAGATAGGGCATGGGGGCCATGGGGAGGGCTGCCTGCCCACACCGGGGAGCCAAGAGCGGGAGCCAGGACAAGCTCCAGCGTCCCTGCTGCTGTGGGGGGAGGGCTCCTTCTGGGAGAGGAGCAACTGTCCCAGTTGATGGAGTGCCTGAGAGGAGGGGCTGCCTGCCTGGACAGATGGTGTACCGCCTTCCCGCACTTGAAGCAAAGTGGATTTTAATGAAATCGCAGCTCTGGTGCTGAAGCTGGGAACCCGTGGGGGTGGGGGGGACCCTTCCTTAAGCTCTACAGGGTGGGGCTTGGGGGTGGGTGGGAATGGGGTGGGCAGGAACACTTAACCAGCCTAAAACTGGGAGGGGGCTGCAGCACAGCCCCCTGCACTGGTCTCTGCAGACCAGAGTTCAAGCGGTTAGTTCAGATCCCCAAAAGGTGGGGAGGGGGCCCTGAATATTTATGACACATTCAAATGTAGATTGGTAGGTCTGACAGTCTTCTGAGAGGCCTGTCACCTCGGATGGATACATCACCCTCTTGGGGCGCATGGAGAAACTGCAGAAGATCTGGGGAGGTGTGATGAGGAAGGACCGAAAAAGCTACTGGGCTCTGGTGACCAAGGTCTGATGACCAGTGTGCCTGCTGGGCAACATTGGACTAATTGCTTCCCCTCTCTGGGCTTCAGTTTCCAGTTCTGTCAGACGTGAAGCATAATACTTAGGCTTTGCATACTTTAGAGTTTATGAGAATAAATCTGAAAGCAGCTGAAAAATCGGGGAGTGGGCCTTGGGAGCAGGGCCTTCTCTGATTGGCCCTCATGGGTCAGTTTTGGGAGACTGAGGCCTCCCAGGGAAGCCCCCAACAGCCCAAGATTTCTCTATTATAAGTTTGTCATCCAGGAGTTTGCCCAGACCTTTTGTAAAAGGTCTCCCAATCTAGCCTGTATCACCCCTTTTTTTTTTTCAGAGTCTCACTCTGTTGCCCAGGCTAGAGTTCAGTGGCCTTAGCATAGCTCACTGCAGTCTCCAAATCCTGGGCTCAAGCAGTCCTCCTGCCTCAGCCTCCAGAGTAGCTGGGACTACAGGCATGTGCCACCACACCTGGCTAAGTTCTCTATTTTTTGTAGAGACAGGGGTCTCGCTATTGCTCAGGCTGGTTTTGAACTCCTGGCCTCAAGTGATCCTCCCGCCTCAGCCTCCCAAAGTGTTAGGATCACAGGCGTGAGCCACCAGGCCTGGCCTGTACCACATCTTAGGGGAGATGTTTCCTAGCTGTGGGAGGCTGGGGTAGGTGTTGATGCCATGCAGGAAAACTCTGCCCCGAGGGGGGTAAGCCCCAGGTCTCCATGCCTGAGACCAGCCGCACCCCAGGCTGCCCTGCCCTCTGCGCCTCAGCAGTGTGCTGTCCCCATACGCCTCTCCTCTTCCGCCAGCCATGTCGGACTTCCACGTGCATCCCCAGGCCACCGTGGGTGAGGAGGGCGGCGTGGCCCGCTTCCAGTGCCAAATCCATGGGCTTCCCAAACCCCTGATCACGTGGGAGAAGAACAGAGTCCCCATCGACACAGACAACAAGAGGTGAGCCACATGAGGGAAAGACGGAGGGAGGACAAAGAGGCGGCCAGTGACCCTGGCCTTTGGGAGCCGCAGCTGGTGCCCACAGGTGCCTGAGCCTGCTGTTTGTGCAGCGTAGTTTAGACGGGGTGTCCACGTGGCTTGCTGGGCCCAGCTTCTAGGCTCATGGATGTGTCTGTGAGGCTCGAGTGCGATCATTATCCAGGCCGGGATTGAGGGTGTGTCCACTTGGAGAGGCCCAGTGTATGTCTGTGATGATGACTGTGATGTGGGGACAGTACTTGGGTCCTAGGCTGTGTCTCTGATGCTCGTGTCCCTGTGGTCCATGGTGTCAGCGTCTGTGCTGGTGGTAGGCTGTGTCCCTCCCCTCAACAGGTACACATTGCTGCCCAAGGGGGTCCTGCAGATCACAGGACTTCGGGCTGAGGACGGCGGCATCTTTCATTGTGTGGCCTCGAACATTGCCAGCGTGCGGATCAGCCACGGGGCCAGGCTCACTGTGTCAGGTGAGGGTCCTTTGGCCCTTTCCCCAACCGGCTTCCTAATTCCTCCCCACCCTCAAATCAGTCCCCTTGAACTGGCCTCAGGGAACTCGTCACCTGGTGTGTGCCGAGCCTCCTAAGCGCAGAGCTCCGCTGCTGCCGCGTTGTTCAGAAGGCGGGTCCTTGGCTCAGTTCTGCCTGCGGAAGCCCCTCCTCTGCTCGCTCCCCGCTCTCCCATCGCTGGAGGCCCTGTAGGGCCCGGAGCAGGGGATGGGTGTGAGGGATGTCCTGGTCCCCCTGGTGTCTCTCTGCCCACAGGTCCTGGTTTCGGGGCTGGTGTTGGTTTCCCACTACCCACGTCCTGAGTTGTGGGTGGGGTGCAAAGTTCCCAGCTGAAGTGAGGAAATGTGACATCTTCCTCCAGGCTCAGGCTCTGAGGCCTACAAGGAGCCGGCGATCCTCGTAGGGCCTGAGAACCTCACCCTGACGGTGCACCAGACCGCAGTGCTCGAGTGCGTCGCCACGGGCAACCCGCGCCCCATTGTGTCCTGGAGCCGCCTAGGTGAGCCCCGTCCCCACAGCCCCACCCCAGGAGGGCTCTCATCACCCAGCTCTGGGGGAACTTTGAATCCTGTTTGTTCTCTGCCAGTTGTTCTCTTCCTGTGGCCTGGGGAGGGATCTTCCCCCACGTTGGGGATGGCTTAGCTCCCCGGGTTAACCTTGTCCACCCCCCATCCTCAGCGCTGGGTCCCCCAGCACCCCAGCCTCTTTCCCCTCCCGCTCGCCCCTGCCCGCTACACTCCCGCCATGCTCCCCAGCTGTGCAATCCCAGGCCCCTCAAAATCTCAGCCCGTCGTCAAACCCTCGCTCTGGGCCCCCCAGTCTCTAGCCTGGCCCCTAAGTCCCCAGCCTAAATCCCAGGGCAGCTGAAGGAGGGAAATGAAAGGGGGCAGATGGGCCCACATTGTCTGAGCGGAAAGGTCACTCAGGGGAAGGAAACTCCGGAGGGGGTGGGGTGGGGTCACATTCACAGGAGACTGTGCCACATTGTAGCAGCTGAGTGATGGGGAAGGAGGGGGCAGCAGGCGGGATAATGGAGTAGATTTCACCACTTCAGGGGCTGAATGCAGAGCTGTCTCCTTGTATTCTGACTGTGCTAATCTGATCCTGGGCGGGGGGGTCCCTGGGAGAGGCTGGGAAGAGTGGCCTCACCGTTAGGAGGAGCCTCTAGGCACTGCGAGGACCATCTGGTCCAACATTTCCCAAAGCGTGATCTGTCAGGCGGGAAAGAACGGCTTGGTGGTCTAACAAGTTTGGAAAATAAAGTTAACCAGGTCCCCTTACTGAAGGCCTTTTCAGAGCCATTACAGTAATGGGCTTCGGGACCCACCGCCCAGGAGCGGGGTGCATATTTGACCATGTCTCGAGAGAGGCAGACCAGGCTGAGAAATGTCGATCTAACCCAAACCCCTCACTTTATGGATTGTGAAACGGAAGGGAAGGGACTTGAACGTTGCCAGCGAGTGGGTGACGCCAGGTCTCTGCTGCCGGGCGAGTGCTCTGTGCAGCTCTCCGCCGCCTGTGCAGTGCCGAGGTGCTTGGGAGGGAAGGTGCGGAGTCACAGACTGGGGTTCCCTGGAAGGCTGGTGGCAGGGCGAGCCCCGTGGGGGCCTGTGCGTCCCCTTCCACGCCTCTGTCTCTGACCCTCGCTCGTCCGCCCCTCCCTCCTCAGACGGCCGCCCCATCGGGGTGGAGGGCATCCAGGTGCTGGGCACGGGAAACCTCATCATCTCAGACGTGAGCGTCCAGCACTCGGGCGTCTACGTCTGTGCGGCTAACAGGCCCGGCACGCGGGTGAGGAGGACGGCACAGGGCCGGCTGGTGGTGCAAGGTACGGACCAGCCAAGCCCAGGAGAGAAGGAAGGGACTTCCACACAGCCCTTCCTCCTGCCCGCTCCCAGCCTCCTCGGCGCCCCCAGCCCAGCCCCAGCCCAGTTCCCGGTGCCTTGCCCCTCACCGGGCCCCCAGGCCAGGCCAAAGGTCACAGCTCTCTGCCCTAGGAAGGTGCCACCCCGGAGTCATTTCCACTTTCTATCTCAGCCGGTCCTCCCCACCTGTGTCACTCACACGTGTCACGTGTCCCCCCCACATGCTGTTTTCATTGACACATGTGGCACGTCCACGCTCACACCTGCCTGCCTGTGGGCTCCCCGTGTGCTTGTCACTTCATGTTCTCGCCGCGGCCCCCGCCGCATACACAGAGCCGCCTCCACTCCCACGGCGCGGCCGACCAGGTCGTTCTGTCCAGCCTCCGGCCCTGGGGCTCAGCTGTCCCGGTGAACGGGGCTTGGATGAACGTTTTCGGGGTTTCTCTGGTTGCTCCCTCCCTGAGAGCAGGGAAGGGGCGGGAAATGGGGGAATCGGGAACTTAAACGCGCGTTTGTTTAGCATTCCACGTGCTGCTAATCTGTCCAGATGAAAGTGATGGAGCATTTCATTTCTCGGGTGTTAATAGAGGCTGGAGGCCTGGGATTGGAGGAGAGTGGAATTGAAAGTGGGGGTGAGGGGGGCCGGGACTGAGGGCTCATCCATCTCCCCGTCATTACCACCTTCTGGAGGTGCAGCCAAACCTATTAGCACATTTATTTATTTAACAATTTCCTGAATCGGGAGCTCAGCTTGATTGCTCCCGGATACAAATGTCAGTCTTTTAAATAGTCGTTAAAATGGAGTCTTCTCTTGGGTCTGCCTGGGGCAGAGGGAGGAGGGAGGAGGGCTGGGCCCCACCTGGAAGAGGGTGTGTGTTCACCCTGGGGACCCCAGCGCCGTCCCTGCTGCCCCGTCCTCCTGCCTTCACAGCCATTTCTTTCCCTCTCCGCTTGACCCCACGGCGCCACGTGCTTCCCTGTGCCCACCTGCAGCCCCAGCCGAGTTTGTCCAGCATCCGCAGTCCATCTCCAGGCCGGCCGGGACCACGGCCATGTTCACCTGCCAGGCCCAGGGCGAGCCACCCCCTCACGTCACCTGGCTGAAGAATGGACAGGTGCTGGGGCCAGGGGGCCACATCAGGCTCAAGAATAACAACAGGTCCGTGCGTGTGCGTGTTGGGTGAGGACTGCGGAAGTGGGGGACAGGGAGGCCCAGAGCGGGTGGCTGAGCAGAATGTGCACCTCCTGGAATTGGGAGTCTGGAGACGTGGGTTTAAGCCCTAGGCCTGCCACCAGCAGGGTGGGAGAACTCAGACAAGCCATTCGTCTTCCGGAAGGATTCGGTTTCTCCATCTCCCAGATGGGAGGTTTGGCCCACCTCTGAGGTGGGCGAAGGTGAGGCCTGGGTGTGGAGTACGACACCACAAACGCTCAGGGTGTCAGAGCTGAGAGGAGGAGGGGATCTGAGGCTCTTCCTCCCCCGCAGCACGCTGACCATTTCTGGGATTGGTCCCGAAGATGAGGCCATCTACCAGTGCGTGGCTGAGAACAGCGCAGGCTCATCGCAGGCCAGCGCCAGGCTGACCGTGCTGTGGGCCGAGGGGCTGCCCGGGCCTCCCCGCAACGTGCGGGCTGTCTCTGTGTCGTCCACTGAGGTCCGTGTGTCCTGGAGCGAGCCCCTGGTCAACACCAAGGAGATCATCGGCTACGTCCTGCACATCAGGAAGGCTGCCGGTGGGTGGGGCTGGGAGGGCGAGAGGCAGAGCCACCCCTTGCCCTAGTTCTCTTTCTCATCCCTTTCAGTCCTGCACTTCCTGACCCACACGTTCCTTTCCTTCTCCCCGTGCACCCTGGCTGCCCTCATTTCCCCAGTGCGGGTAGGACTCCCTCCTGTCCCTTACACTCCTCTGCCCCGCCTTTGCCTCCCAGACCCACCGGAGCTGGAGTATCAGGAAGCAGTCAGCAAGAGCACTTTTCAGCACCTGGTGAGCGACCTGGAGCCCTCCACGGCCTACAGCTTCTACATCAAGGCCTACACGCCTCGGGGGGCCAGCTCAGCCTCCATCGCCTCCCTGGCCAGCACCCTGGGCGAAGGTGAGGCCTGGGTGTGGAGTACAAAACCACAAACGCTCAGGGTGTCCGAGCAGAACCACTGTGCACAGTTGTTCAGGCTGTGCACTGCACAGGGTGCCTGACCCTCCTGGGGCTGAGTCGGACGGGACCTACTTGAAGGAAAGGGATCTGATTCATGGAACGCTGCTGTCTGACCAGGTGCACGCCCGGGATCAGAGGCCAGGGAGCTGTCAGGCTCCTGGGCGTCTGGGTCACAGGTGGAAGGTGGAAAGGTAGAGCGTTGACTGAGCCCTCACATCTTGGCCTCCTCTGCCCGCAGCCCCCGCCCCACCCCCGTTGTCCGTGCGGGTCTTGGGCAGCTCCTCCCTGCAGCTGCTGTGGGAGCCCTGGCCCCGGCTGGCCCAGCATGAGGGTGGCTTCAAGCTGTTTTACCGCCCAGCAAGCAAGGCCTCCTTCACCGGCCCCATCCTGCTGCCTGGAACTGTCTCCTCCTACAACCTCAGCCAGCTCGGTGAGGCGGACACAGCCCTGGGCCTGGGGAGCTGGGCAGGGTGTGGTATGTAGGGGTCCCCTCCCTTTCTCTGCCAGGACAGAGCTGTGTGGTAGGGACAGGGGCAGTCACTCAGCGGCCCTGCCTTTCCCCAGACCCCACTGCGGTGTACGAGGTGAAGCTGCTCGCCTATAACCAGCATGGAGACGGCAATGCCACAGTCCGCTTCGTGTCCTTGAGGGGAGCATCTGAGAGGACAGGTGAGGTTTGGGAACAGAGTAGGGGGCTGAGGGGCAGGGAAGGAGCACAGGTGGGACAGTGCATGCAGCCCTTAAGAAACAGACCTCAGTTTGAAATTTAGCTGTGTAACATTCTAGCTGTGTGACCTTGGGCAAGTTACTTAACCTCTCTGAGCCACTGTTTTCTCCTGTATAAAACAAGTATACTAATCCCTACATTATAAAGCTGTGGCAAGGATGAAATGGTCCGCATACAGTGTTATTCCCAGTATCTGGCACAAAGTCAGCGCTCAATAATTGCTAAAAAGAACCAAAAAGGCTGGGCTGGGGTCCCACAGTCAAAGGATGTTGCCACTTCCACTTGAGGGTGGGAGCAGCTGAGGGAGGCATCCTCGAGGCTGGGGGTCTGGGGGTGCTTCAGGCCTGGAGAGCTGCAGGCCCCACCTTGCCCATGCCCTCCAGCCCTGAGCCCACCGTGTGACTGCCAGAAGGAGGAAGTAGCCAACCAGACGTCCACCACGGGCATTGTTATTGGCATCCACATTGGGGTCACCTGCATCATCTTCTGTGTCCTCTTCCTTCTGTTTGGCCAAAGGGGCAGGTGGGTCCCGGGCTGGGGAGGGGCTGGGCTGGCGTGGGGTGAGGACAGGCTTGGAGAAGGGGGCTGCAGGAGAAAGGGTTGGGGGCTCACTGCCTGTGTCTTTTGTTTTTCTCTTTTTGTTCTCGCTCCCTCCCACACCCCTCCCCCAACTCTTGGCTCACCCTTAGGGTCCTCTTCTGTAAGGACGTGGAAAACCAGCTCTCCCCTCCTCAGGGTCCCCGGAGCCAGAGGGACCCTGGCATCCTGGCCCTGAATGGGACAGGACGGGGAGAGCGGGGCCAGCTGGGCCGCGACGGGAAACTTGTGGACGTGAAGGAGCTAGAGCAGCTGTTCCCCCCAGCTGGGGCTGGGGGGCAGCCGGACCCCAGACCCGCGGTGAGTGCCCACGCCTTGAGCAAACCTGCCCCTTCGAGGTCTGACCACCTCCCGATCCTGCTCTTGCTTCCCCTGGGCCGCAGGCCTCGGTCAGCAGCCTTAGCCAGGCGCCAGGTCTTCTCCGGGCACAGAACTATGGCCGGTGCTTCTCTCTGTACCCCCAAGTCAGGCCACAAGGCCTGGAGGCCCTAAGCCCTGGGTGGGGTTGGATACAAGCCTGACCCGCCGGCCCCAGGCTGACGCTGTGTGACCGGCCCTTTCCCCGGCAGGATCCCGCGGCCCCTGCCCCATGCGAGGAGACCCAGCTCTCCGTGCTCCCGCTTCAGGGCTTCAGCCTTCTGCATGCGAGGACGACGGAGGCCCTGGCCCCCTGCACGGGCCCCATGGCTGCCCTGACACCCCAGGATGGAGGCCCCCGGCCTCCTCAGTGAAGGACCAGCTGCCCGGCCAGCTCGCTTGGCGCGGTAGCCAGTGCGTGGCAGGCTCTGGAGGGGGCGCACCCCCATTCTCAGGTCAAAGGCAAGAGTTCTCCTGTCATGTGGGATTCAGATGGTCCTGGGGGCTCCCCAGCATTTCTGTCCCGACTGCCTCTCGGGTTCCAAGACCTGAGGCGGCCTCAGCAGGGACCCACCCCGAGGAGCCCACTCCCCCTACCCCACTGGGCTGGTCCCCCGTCACCTCTGCCTGGTACCCACATGACTTGGAACTGAACTAACCTTTTCCTTTAAAAAGCAAAACTTAAACTCAAAAAAGACAAAAAAAAAAAAAAAGAAGAAAAAGAGGGAGAGAGAAGAAGGTGAATTAGACTCCAAAAATACGCCCCTGCTGTGGCCGGGCCCGACGCTGTCACCCTCCACCAATGTGTTTTCTCAGGATGGACTTTTGCCACGAGGCTCGCAGCACCTACCTCAGCCGGAATGAATGTCCTTGGGGGGTGGGCGTCGCCCTGCCCTTACCCCCCAGACCCTGAATGCACTCCTACCTCAAGCCTCCTTTACGGGCACCCCTCCCTCCCCACGTTGTTGTCCAGAGTTAAAAAAAAAAAAAAAAAGGAGAAAAAAAAAAGCACGTCCCCATTTCCAGGTGTGAAAGAAAACGTCTACCTCAAGGTTTGCTGGCTCTGCGGCCTGCGTCGTCACTGGGCCTCCCTCCCTGCCCCTCTGCTTGCCCGCCGCCCCACCCGCCTCTCCCCCGAGAGGAGCCCCGGGGCCGAGTCACCAAGGGGGCCCTCTCGGGGCCTGCAGAAGTGAAAATGGGATTGGTCAGAGAGAAAATGTGAAAAAAGCCAAAAATGCGAGGAAATTTATTCCTTGAAGTATGAACTGTTATCCAAACAAGCCACCTCCCGGCAGGCTGCCTGTGCTCTGTGCTCCCTCGCGCGTCTCATCTGTCCGCCCGGCCCGGCCAGCCCCGCTTGGGGATGCTGCGACCCTCTCTGCCCGGGCCTTGGGAGGGGGCCCGCCCTCAGCCTGCCCCCTGTCCCGCCCAGGCACAGCCCTTGGAATGTACCGCGTGTGTGATGGGGTTGGGGCTGGGGGTGGCCCTGGCAGAAGCGCCCCAGCCCTCTGTCCAGGGGACACAGCCAGCCTGACTCGCCCCCCAACAGTGGAACGACCACTGTCAGCAGATGCCGCCGGAAGCTATTTTTATACAAGGTGTGTTTAAGGGTTTTGTTCTCTTACGTGACTTGTTTCTCTTTTCTGTTGTGGTGTTCTTTGAACTACTTAAAGAAGAAAAAAAACCAAGGAAACAAATACCTATTTTTGGTTACACTCAGAAACATTTTTTTAAATAGCAGAAAACTTTTTTTTAAAGAAAAAAAAAATACAAGTGTATTCCTTAAGAATGAGATTAGACCATAAAATCCCTCACCCCCAACCCTCTAGGGACACCCCACCCTGAGCTTTAGTTAGTTAGCTGAAGAAGGTAGAATTTGTGGTGTTTTCCTAGAAGACTAGCGTCGTATCCATGGGAACTCGGGGAAGGGCTGTCCCCCATCGGCCCAGATGGTGGGTGTCCCCGACGGTTCCACCAAGCGCGGGGGCGGTGCCCTTCTGACCCCGAAGCGGCTCCTCTCTGCAGCCCCCATCCCTTGGGAAGAGTGGGGCTGCGGCAGGAGGAGGCTGGGGGCCACCTGGCCCGACCTGGGTTTTGTCACACTCTACTCATTTTGACTGAATAAAAGTCCTGTTGCCAAAGTGAACCTCGAGTCTTTTGGTGACTGCGTCAGGTCCCGGGGGTCGGAGGGCAGGAGTGCGGGGCCGGCCTGGCCGCAAGGGTCAGAGCCTGGAGTCACGTGCTAGGTCTCCTCCATGCAGGGGCCGTTCCAGGGCCTCAGGCCTCCCTGCGAGGCAGATACGCTAGTGCCGTCATCCCCATTTCAGTCTGCGAAACCAAGGAAGAAGAAAAGCGAAGGAACCGTCCCAAGTCAGTCTGGTCCTCACACAGCAGAGTTGGTCTCGGGGCCAGACCGCCTGGTTCCGGTGTCTGCCCTCCGGCCACCGCCTAGCGCTTCCTCAGCCCGCAGTGGTAAAACAGACCCGGCCCCGGGCGCGGTAGTGACGGTCCTCCGGTACCGAGCCCTCGTCCAGTGCTGGCCAGGCAGGGCGAGGTGCTTTTCACGCTCTATGAGGAAGGACTATTTTCCTCGACATTCTACAGTTGAGGAAACTGAGGCTCCGACTGAGTGACTCTTTCCGGAGTACTCAGCCAGGACCCCCAGTCAGCCAGGCCTCTCTGTTCCTCCACTGTCTCTTAGGCCGGCTTCCTAAAGCCAGGCTTGGCTTAATGGCAGTTATGCTGACAAAGATCTAGAGTTCTCAGTGGGCTTCGAGCTTTCTAAGAGGCAATGGTGTGATACGGTGTGAGGCAGCTGCTGCTGAGTTGGAAAGCCAGGACGCATGCTGGCAGGCTCCGCGGGCCTGGAGGGCCAGGTGCTGGGATGGTGGGTTGTAAACTGGGTCCCCCAGCTGTGGCTAGAGGTGTGGGGAGCTCTCTAGGGGGCCTCACTCTCCCTGCCACCCTCGCCTGGAGCAACTGTACATTTATCTCATTAAATGTTGGTCTCTTCATGAAATTGCATTTGAAAACAGGGTACTGCTCCTAAAAGAACATTTGGAAGCCCCTGGCCAGGCAGTTTCTGGAAGAAGCCTATGGGGTGGTTGGGGGTGAGTCAGGTCAGGATCAGCGGTGCTGAACCGAGCAAGAGAAGCCTGGGCCCACGTGGTCCTTGTCCTGAGTCTCCAGGGAGGCTCCTGACTTGCCCTGATCATCCCAGAGGAGAGAATCAAGTTGAATGTAAACATAAGACTCCACCTTTCTTTACACGGGACTTTGCACACAGGACGTTTTCACCAATTCCAGCCATCCGAGGGCTGCCTGGGAGGCCGTGGTCCCAGCGGGCCCTGCAGGGGTTGGGGAGTAGACCAGTAACCTCCAGTGCCCCGCCCTCCAAGAGTCCAAGATGTCGTACCTCCCCCAGGGGGAGGCTTCTGGAAACGTTTAGAAACCACCTAAAGAGCAGGTCTATGCAAATTGCACACAAATCACATGCAAACACAGACAGGGCCTGTGCTCACTGTCGCAAGGCTGAGCCGGCCTAAAGTAGATGACAATTAGGAAGGTTAGCAGAAACGGTGTCAAAACTGAGTGGCCTGGCTGGAGTCTGGGTCCTGAGATCTCAGCCCAGAGGCCTCAGGCCGAAGCACCTCCTCACATTTCCCCCCCCACGAACCATCTTTGGGCAGAAAGCAGCAGCAGCTAAGGCTATAACCTGTTCCAATCATCTAACGCTCTGTAACGAACACCTCAGACCTTGGTGGTTTAACAGGACATTGATTTTGCTCACAAACCTGCAGTTTGGGCAGGGCTCGGTGGGGACAGCTGTCTCTGCCCCACCGGACACCCGCTGGGGCAGCTTGGAGCCTGGGGCTGGAGTCACCCGAACGCTGCCTCACTCCACGTCTGGTGGCTGATGCTGGCACGTGGCCTCTCCATGTGGCCTGGGCTTCCTCATAGCATGGGGGACTGAGTTCCAAGGACAAGTGTCCTGAGAGAGTGAGCCAGGTGGAGACCACATCATTGTTCTGACCTAGCCTTGGTGACACAGCATCACTTCTGCTGTATTTTATTCCTTAGAAGCAAGTCACTAAGGCCAGCCATATTCAAGGAATTCTAGGGGAATTTGATTCCACCTTTGGATGACAGGAGAGTTAAAGAACTTGTGGTCATGTTTTAAAGCAACCACGGGATCAGGGATCACTCGGGAGAGACAGATGGGGAAGGAGTGTGAGCTGGGAGCGGGAGAGCTCACCCAGTGGCCCTGGGGGTACGCAGGGGCCGGGCCTGGCTGAGGGGCTGCTGGTGGGCTGCAGGAGACAGAGTGCCCCCAACTGCTGCACCAGGCCGGGTTTCAGGGTCTCATCCCTATTATTTGCGAAGATCACTCTTGGGGTCCAGTTCTAAGGCCACAAGGAGGGGGGACCAGGCCCCTGCGAACACCCGGAAAGGAGCTTCTCTGCTGCCTGCTCCTTGTCGCGCGTGAGGGCTGAGGGCCAAGAGTAGCTGGTGCAAGCCCGAGGCCCCCCAGTCTGGATGGCAGACCCCAGACTGACAGAACTGGAGGGGACCGCTGACCCCTCCTGAGACACATGAGGCAACAGAGGACCCATGAGGGGCACAAGTGCCTGCAGGTCACAGGGAAGTGAGAGGCAGAGCCACGGCTGGAGCCCAGGACAGCCACAGCCCGCCCGGGGCCTTCTGCGCTCTGCCAGCCCTGCCACGGTCAGACCCTCAATACTGGCCTTGTCCGGAGCGCAGAGCGAAGGGAGGGGCCTGGGGGCCTGGTGTGAATATGGCCCCTGAGCCCCCTGCAGAGAGGGGGCTGGGCAGTCGGGGAGCCAGCGGCTCAGGACAGGCTGGAATCCAGGCTGGAAACAGGGCAAGGAGCAGGAGTGCCTGGGCGGTGCTGCCTTGAACTCTGGATTCAAGCTAGAGCCAGGGCAGGGGACACCTAGGCCCGCTTCCTTAAGAGGCATCGTGGGGACGGATTCGGGGGCTCTGTTGCTCCTCTGGAGCAGAGAGGGAGTGGAGAGAAGAGAAGGCTGAAAGGAGGGCCAAGGAGGAGCCCAGCCCGACTGGCAGGGAAGGGAAGGGCCTTGCTCCTTGGGCTCCAGAGGGATGTACGCTGGACCCCAAGTTCCCAAGGGCACAGATGGCCTGTCAGTCATGGTGCACCACATGCCACTGCCACAAGGCAGGGTCTGGTCTAGCTATCACTCCAAAATGCCCACATCCCGGCCGGACTCTGCTCCCCACAGTTTCTTTTCGTCTCTGGGCCCCTTGCTCCAGATCACACTTACTCGGTAACTGCTGAATGAATGCTTGCAAGAACAGAACATGTAGGTGGAGGACTGGGGACACTGTCACAAAG